ACCTAAGCAAAAGTACAACTCTGATCTCCTTCCAAGCAGCGGGTGTGTCACATTTTTCGAAAGCGTTGCATTGAAGATATCTGTAAGAAGATAACATGTCTGCACATTTTCCAAATATAACACCGAAAACGCCATCAGGACATAGGCTTCGGGATATGTTCCAGGATTTCAGATATCTGAATAGGCCATTTGTAGCGAACCACCAAAGCGACCGTCCATTTGACCATGGACACCAGGATGGGTGAAATCAGCTTACCAAAGTAAAAATGACTTGTCTGACACACGTAGTAGAGTGAGCTTCTTTTGCTTTTTGTTTTCTACGAGCAAGCCTTTTAAATAATATCCACATATTTAGAGTTTTCGTACGATGGAAGCTCCTGGTTGTATGTGGTACTTAGACGTTGTACTTCCGATTTAAATGGGCAGTTAAGTCTTTTAATTCGCGGGCAGTCCGTCACCTGATACAGCATTTCCTTCCCTCCTCGAAGCCTCCTGAGATAAGGAGAGGAAACTGTCAAATGTCATTTAGATTTCCTCGGCAGGGTACACCATGTCGAAACGGAACATGGTATAGATTGTGATATCAATGATAGTGTCATTGTAAACTTCATCAACAAACATATCCCGGCCCACTTATTCAAGTATGCTCCTCATATGTATTACATCCTCCTGTGAATAGCAACTTCACTGAACTTCCTTGAGCAGGTACCCGACAACCCCCTTGTGTAGTATGTTATAAGCCCTGAGCAAAGCGCGTAAAACACGGTGGTCATAATTCAGCAGCAGAGCCCATTTACAGGCTCTACATTTGCCGGAATCATTCGTAAATAATAGACCTGGTATATTATCAAGACGGGTAGTAAAGTTAACCATATTTTCATAACCCACTGGTACAAGGAAACTGCAGTCTTACGAACTAAAATCTCAGCGGACTATGAGGAGTTACCAGGAGTCGAAGAGGCAAATTCAGCGAATTCGTCGGCGAAAGTTGCCAAGCCTGGAAGAGTGCATTGACGTGTGATACAAACTTTTGTAACGTGTATGTGGTCGTATTTACTCAAATTTTTGGGACCACATTCAACGGTAATACACTCTTCATTTTCAGTAGGGGAGCTAAAGCATGCATAGTAGGTGTACCAGCCGGTACCCATAAATGTTGCTGCACCCCGCCATAGTTCTCAGAAAACCGTCGACCTTGCAGAAACAATCTGTAGCGATTTGGCAAACCAACTCGTCACTATGTAGATTATGAAGCCATTTTTCCTGCAGCATTATTATGCCCATATTTCGGTAAACATTCGTGGATAACAGTAAATTAACGTAACGGCCTGTTTTTTGTTTCAGGTATTTCTGGAATGGTTGAAGATTCGTCAGAATCAGTCGTTTTATTCCGACGATAAGCAGAATCACCTTCGGAGGTTTTTCAATGATTAAATAGTGGATATTGACGCAGTGATTTCGGATGGCTTGACCGGGTATCTAGAGCGTTTAAACAGTTGTTAGTTCCAGAACGTGAGTTTTAAGGATATATGGGTCTCCAGACTGCATTGGTTTTGCCTGTTTTTCATTCGTTAACGGTCTTTTCCGATGACCATCTTCAGCCCGGAAGAAAAAGGGAGACAGTTTCATGCAACACCCAGTGACACCCAAACTGACGATAGACACGGTAACACCGTCTCGGCATAGACCACGATTACGGAGCATTGTTGCCTTAACTGGAGTGCCTGCTTGGACTCCGACCACAGGCAAGTAAAGATACTCGTGTGTACAACTTAGTGATCAGTGAGAACAGGCCGCAGTGAAGCCTGCATCTGGTCGATCAGAGGATCAGATTGCCAAGTGTGCGTTTAGGGTAAGATAGTGAGGCATTTGCCAGAATAAGGCACCAATCCTATTCCCTATGCCACCTGATGTAGTGAAAACAACAGTGAAGACAGCGGGTAACCCATATTCGAAGGCTGACAAACACCACTGAATTCCAACATTATCTTAAGAACTCATTGGTGTGAGAAGACTGGTCCCATCTGGCCCTAACTACGAGGTGCGAAGGGAACACGCGCGTAAATTAGCTTAGATATTTTGCGGTGATCATTAGCTGTGTCGTATTGTGAAGGTGAAAATGATGGAGGATGCGGCAGCATTAGGTAGTACCTGGCAATTCTTTTGCCTTGTTAGGATAATGACGGGGAAAGACGGTGACAGATGACATCTTCAGCATAAAGGACAGGTTCTTAATCACCTACCTGTAAAAGGCTGCTGTAGTAACGGATGGAATACCTTGAAGGATTGTTCAGCTGCCACTGCCTGCCATGAATCGATACAGGTTCGCCCCAAGTTTCTGGGTAAGGTTCGTCTGGAACTACTTCCTGTCCCCCTCACCTTGATGTTGCGTAGATTTCTTGGGGTCATACACGCGGCATGGTCGGATTCATTTTTGGAGATCCTCCATCTGTGCCATGCTTTCTTTTTGGCTCTAGAGGGGCGTCCAGCGCCTCCTTTCAGTTATGAGGTTCGCCTCTTCGGCATTGTTGTGAACAGTGGGACGATTTTAGAGATAGCCCTCTCGAGGATTTCTCTAACTAGTCCCCGACGTCGATCAATAGAAAGGTTACCCCACTCTTGAAGCCATGCTGCTGTCGGAAGACGTCGGTTAATCACCACGTAGTTTCCCTTGCTATAGCAAAGACAAGGGCAAGATCCCCCCATGACGGCTGTTCACTGAATACCAGATCGAACACATCCACGCCGTGATCGCTGATACCAACGATGGCTTGGACCCGAATGCTTTCTGCTAGTAGATGGTCGCTGGTAAAAAAGGTTACCCACTTTGTGCGGCTTTCGCTAGGCCCCCGGCGAGTGTCATCGCCAATATCCGCATGCAGCCTAACCTTTTCGGTGGTGTTGAGTAGGTTTCGGTCGAACCTCCTGCTTGAGGTTCCCCCATCCTGCTCGAGATCGGGAGTTGGAACAATTAAATCCCCGGCTATAATCGCCCGGTCATATCCCATAGACGTTGCTCCGGATATTACTTGGAACAGTTGTCGGTTATACTTCTTGTTGCTGGGGTAGGTTCTGTAGATCTCCCCACCAGACACGGCGTGTCACACCTCATAGTGGCACCTGATGGAGTCTGAGTGCTCAAAAAGTAGAGTTACAGTGGCCGGTTAACATTTGAGATCGTCGCGTAAACATTCCCACTCCGCCTTCTTCCTTACGCTCTCTGAGTCTCCTGAATAGACGCATACCGTCTACACTAATTTTGATCCCGCTAATATCCGGAGACAGCCACGTTTCTGTTAGGATTATGATCTTAGAAGCAAGGTAGGAATAGAGATCATGGTTCCACCGCCTTGCCACTAGGTCCCCCTACAGTGTTGCGAAGACACTCGGGGTGTTTCTAACAATGCGTAGTGTCTTGGTGGCGGCAAACCGTAGGAGTTCGCGCGCAGTAGCGAACTTTGCCTCAAGGCGGTCAGCTTCAGTGGAACCGAGCAAACCATTTTTTTCCCTAAAGCGGTTTTTTGGGCCTTATAGAGTCAAGGTCGTTTCGGATATCTTGTCTGTTGGCAGTGATGGGGACCCCGGCACTAAATGGGGCCGTCGTTCAATGTTACCGCAGTGTTCCTGGGTCTGCTTTCACGGCAGAGAATGTTCCTGCTGATGTTGTCTTCAACTTAGTACCAAGTCTGTAGTGCTTTGGTTAGAAGTTTTTGGCACCCGAAGTTAATTACCATCATCCTTCGTCGTCAAATGTGGGGAACGTGGTGGCCCGCAGACAGCCACCACCATCCCATTCAGCCATATCCTTGCGAAAAAACCACCGCCATTGCTGAACATCGTGAGCGTACTTCTTTACTAATGTGCTGGTTAATAAAACCAATCGGTCGTGGATACCATGGTTGTTTGTTCCAGTGTGTGGGGTGCCTCGCAAGATACGTCTCTCGCTGGCCATTGTCGGCCTGTCCTAACTCTAGTGCCGGTCGGTTGGTTGACGGTTAGTGTGTGAGACGGCAACGAGAATCTTTCCGCCTGCTTAGCCGAGCTTTGCTTCCGTGCTGCCCAGCCCTATCATGGAGCATACCGTTTGCTGTTGTTGTCTGCTGGGAGAATATCTAATCTCAAGAAGACTCATGGCACACAGAAACGTTACATAAGATGATGGAATTCAATCAGACATCAGCGTCTTTTTTGTCTTGCATTGTGAGTGGGTTTTTATGGGAAGGGAGCGATGTCTTTTCGACAGCGACCTACCTCCCCGATGTACAGCAGGGGTAGCCACAGAAACAACTTCAGGGTTCAGGACTAATGCGGTTGTTCCCGTGCCTGGCCGCCGTTTGGCCCTTTTTTAGCTATTCACAGTTATGACCGTTCGCGAAAGGATGCTGCGACTCTTGTTTTTTGGGCTTGAGGTAGTGGTCTGTGCAGGCACTGGTATCTCAGTGGCCACCACAGTGTCTTTTAGAAGTCTGTAGAAATGAGTGGCCCTGCACATCACGATGGGCAGATACACTGGAACCACGTGCACAGGTAGCGCGCCATAAGGGCCTAATATGGAACCGCCACGTCCTTATCACACTGACTGTTCACCCACTGTTGCAGATGTTGCGCTCAAAAGCAGCGTTCCTTTTGGTTACGGTGAGACCACACTTGTGACGATTATCAGTCTAACCATAGGCTTTGGTCGAAGGCCTTATTTTCCTTCTCTTCTAAATGGTAGCCTTCACAGGCAGGCTAGGGTTCGTGCTGAGAGTGCCAGGAAGACATACCCACGATGAACTAAAGTATGTTGGTTCTGAAGGACTGGAATTCGACTTTTACCAGGAATGGGTAGTTGCAACTGTTCTCCTGAGGTCAACCCGCTGTCGTTTGCGGCGGCTTTACTCTTCTTGCTGCTTGCTTCAGGCATTACCAGGGAAGGGGAGGTTGACAGCCGGGCGAGGGACTACTCGAGATGTTCCTGAGACCAAAATAACTAGAACGCTGTTGCTACTCGTTTCAGTATGTGGTTAGGTGGGGAAACATCAATAAGTGACCAAATTAGACGTAGAAAACTTACGTCAGCTAAAGTAAGTTGTCAGGCTTATTTAGAAATGCCCAGTTGTATGACCCGGAACAGCACCAAAAGCTTTCCACAAGTTCAAGATGTGTGGTTGAGTGAGATAAGCAGTACTATAGATGCGACAACCTAGCTTTAGCAGCTGTTCAAAACATTTAGACCTACTGCACGACTGTCCGTCTGGAGAGTGGTGTTACTGATCGACTGAGGATTGTACGTTTCGCATAAAATGTTTCCTTCCGGTAAAACTGTTGCTTTTGGAGAGCAAAGGTCGGACAAGGAAGTCGTGCCTGTGATTATTTCCGAGGAGAAAGCAGATGAATCAAAACACGTTAGTTTTAAAACAAGTACACGTCAAACATCTCATTCTTCTCATATTTTGAGGGGGATACGGCGATTTTCCTGAAAATCAATGTCTCAGGGTTCTAAAAACTTCAAGGTTGATGCTAGCGGACGGACCGGTTAGGCTGGAGGTTAACGGTGAGGCAGCAACCCGATTTGGCACATTGTCTTGTCGCGTTTCCGTGTGAAACTATCTAGCCAACCCGTGGGACCGCATCGGCATTTTGACATGCTTCAGTTGATGTGCCACTCATACCTGGCAACATAACAAAGCCTCTTCCTGGTCTCGCACTTGCTCCGCTCCCAAGTTTTTCCAACAAAACCAGCTCAACGTTCGACAGTATGCGTTCAAATAGTTATCATGATCTTATGAGGAATTCCCAGAGGTGAGACACCAAATATAGTAGAGAAGATGTGACGTGTAGCTCCCACACATTCAAAGAGTTCTTAGGCGTATCAGCCTTAAACATCCAAGCCTTTCGTCGGACAATGAATGTCCATTTTACGTCACAAAGTTAGTTTACAGTCTAAGTTACGGACAACCTGCATTCCTTTTATTTGGTTTTTGTTCCTCATTTCTCAGACAAAAACTAATAGTCCACTTATCACAGATGGTGAAACCGGTCAAGTAAATCGCCCTTCTACTCCATCAGTGATCATTTAAGCTGAGAATTCCAAATTGTACCACAAACTGTTTGTTATATAGTGAACTATTATTATTATTATTATTATTATTATTATTATTATTATTATTATTATATGGAATTCAAACTTCACTGACACGTCTTCCTTCTAAATTCCTGCTGAAGAAAAGAGATAGGTAAGCGGCTTAGACTCTTCAGGAATAATCAGTGGTTCGAGAGGCGACAGATTACGAAGATGTTTATTTCTGTACAATGGCAGTCTTTGAAGAGATTGGACAGTGCTTTCTTCTAATTTAGCGCGATGACTACATAGCCCGAAATGTACCGCTCCGTACAATTTGTCAAGGACGTAATGCATTCTGAGGCTTACTGATTTAGTTTCCACTTTTGGTTTCTAGACTACCTCATCTCTTCTCTGTCGAGCTGTACAGTTTGTCAGTTGTCTTTTGCTTTTAAATGTCGGTAAAAACAATGTACTGGCAGAATCTTCGGCTCACGTTCTTCTCTTCGTCTTTTCCTTCCAGATTCTTGCGGTCTTCACTAAATCTACACTCCTCTACGTGCGTCCTGCAACAGCGTCTGTACCTAAAAGCCAGAGCAAAACCTATCAACAGCTGGTCGCTACAAGGTTAGTTGTAACCTTCCAGCCTAACAAGAATGTAAAAATAATTCCGGCGAATATATTTATTTACGTATACGTAAATAATGCGAGTCATTGCATTGATTATGAATGTGAAAATAGTGCTGAAATGCGAATTCTAAGCGGAATTTTACTGGTTAACCGCATAATTTACACATATAGCGCAATTTAAGCCTGTCTGCTCTAACTCATCTTTATTGACAGATAATTCCCGCATTGTTTACGGACAATTCCCCTGGTTCAGGGAAATTTTGGGCAGAATTCTTATTATTTCAATCTCTTTCTTATTATTAGTGCAGTTTATCGCATTATTAACTCATCCTCTCGCATTATTTCTCTACTCTTGTCAGAGTTAATTAATTCTATTTCTAGTTTCCTTTGCTTTTTGAGCATCTTTAACCTCCGTTGATTACCTCTTTATATTGAGTGTAATTAAACCTTATCGTAGATCGGTCTTCATATGTCATTTTTCAATTTCAGATTACCATGGTGGCTGAGTGAATTACAGCCGTGGAGTAGATATCTGCATTTGATTCCATCTTCAACATTTATACAAGTTAGATAAACACCGACCATTAAGCAGCTGTGATCAGTAAGTTTTATTCTCCTTTTAAGTGCAGCGTTTTCGTGATCATTCATAACTCTTGTGCTAGGATGTGGGTATTTTCAGTTAGTTGCATCATAACTTTTGGAGCTCCCAAGACACCATAAATCATCCGATATTACATAATACGTAACAATGACGACAGTGTGTAGCATTATGATGTGTAGAAACAAGTCTGTCTAACAAATCTACTGCAGCATTGCATATTTTGTTCGGATGTTATCTGTGAACACATAATTTCCTTAATGATTGTAATATCCCGGACGAATGAGCCCAGAAAACTACTGACTGCATTGAAAGTAGCAGCTGTGACTTTTAATTGCTGTATGTTGTCTGTAAGAAAAGCGAAGCAGTTTTTTCAGAACATTCATATATACACGTAAAATATTTATTTACACCTTCCGGAAATGTCGATGGACCTAACTTGAAGTTTTCCGGAAAGTTTGGGTCGGTTTTGAATAAGTAAGTTTACTAGTTTGACCGTAGTCATATAAGTGTGTTTTGATGCAATGATGGACTCTTCCATAGTGGTAATTGCTAGAACCATGTAGTCTTGTGTGTCATGATTACAAAGTTATACGGCGTCTTCGTCGCCTTGTATTTTGCGGACGGATATCGCTATAGCCATACCATAGGTGTACTGTAGCAACCAGTGTCAAAGTTGTTCAGCTAAGTCTCTGTTCTAAGTTTTTTGCACCCTATTGGTACTAGATTTCACTCAGAATTAAATGGTGAGTGCAATTTGTGGACTTAACTAAATGAGTTCAGTAACGAAGAAACGGGCTGTAATTTACTATTGTAGATGTAACGTTATCAAGTGCTAGTTCATATATTCACATTTACTCCAAATACCTAGACTTAGACAACTAATCACTTTACTAACGCATACCAAATCGGTCCACTGTGCATGCTTATCTGGTCCTCCACTAGGGAAACCTAAATGTCACATACGTCCTACTACAAGCCTTGAATGCATACAAATTACGTGAATTCATGTAAGCTACTTACATTCACCACTATCACTGCTCGCCAAACATACTTAAATTTTTGCTCAAAGCGTTCGCAAGACGCTGCATTGCGTCAGCGTCTTCACCTAGTAGGACAATGTCCTCTACGTACTCCAATTTAACCGAATGGCCTCCATGGAGTAGATCAATACATATGAAGTCAGATTCACTTAGGGTTGTATACATTAGTACATATCTAGTGAAATTAAATAGGACAGTGATAGTGGGGATCCCCAGTGAAAACCACTGGTTGTCATCAATCTAGGTGACAACTCTTCATGATCTTTTCCACGGCTACGTGAGTTTGAGCACAGAGTTTTGATTAAAGTCATGTACTCCTGGCCCATAGCTGGTACTTTGACATGTTGATCGGGTTCTCATACCACAATACTTGTTCCCTCAAGATCTTACCATGTCAGAAAGGTGTGTTGGGTAGTGGTAAGACGAAAGGCAGTTACCGTTGCAGTGAAAATTAATACACTATAATGTGATTCTGAGGGCACAGTCGTAATGCTGTTCCTCTTGGGTAACTAGCGGCACCACGCTGATGCTGCCTTCCACGGGGGAAATGGGGGGTTAGAAAATGTCGACCCTAAAACAGCCTACTCCTTCCTACCCCCTGGTGCTGGTGATATTAGAACAAACTGACACCAAAACAACAACCCGCAAAATGCTGTGTTACAGGCCTCTAGCAAGTGTCTCATGGGCTCTATGGATTCAAATCTTCTCTTTCAGGTACCTTGAGAAGAAATAGCCTTTCATGTAGCCGGGGAGTCAACCGCCTGCACCCTTCCAGTAGTACACAAGACCTAATCAAACAACATATTCTCCTCAATTCTGTTTCATCCTCCTGAAACTAATATTAAAACTGCAGGCACTGAGCAGGGTGAAGAGCGGAAGCAACTCAAGCATATGCTCACAGAAAAATTCACATATTCGCGAGCACTAGGGGGTAGCGAAAGTTAAACATATGGAAAAGGCAGTGGCGATGGGTATCAGTAAGCAGTTACCTAGACGTATCAAGGAAACTGGAGCGACAAGGTCAATGGTTAGTGAGAGGATAAAGGAGAAGGGTGCATTTGCAATTCATAGGCAGAGGAGATAACTAGAACGATGGGTGAAACACGTCAAGTAACATTTCAATTGACCTCCAGCTAGTATCCCGTCGCCCGCTATCCAGTCGCAACCTGAACGGAATCTTGAGATCAAGCCTCCAACACTTGTAGATGTCGAAAATATCGTAAGTAATCTGAAACAAGGAAAGGTAGCAGACCACTTACTAGTACTGAAGGTATATATATATATATATATATATATATATATATATATATATATATATATATATATATATATATATATATATATATATATATATATATATATATGGTATATAAGGACGGTGGTCGAGGATCACTGGTCAGGTTAACTGAAACTTTAGCTGACCTGTGATCCCTCAGGCTGGTCTCAATAATTGATTGTTACAGTCTTCAAGAAAGGTAAGAAATCCTCTTGTGACGTGATAACCACAGGGGAGTCAGGTTGACGAACTCAAGGTTTAAGATTCGATGTCCTGTGATTATCAGGCGTCTAAGTGGAACTCATGAGTAGCAAATCTGAGGGAAGTAAACAGGTTTCAGGACTGGCTGTGATTGCACCAACTTTGTATTTGCTGTCCACCGGATTCGAAAAGATGGGCACACCAACGCCCTACACCATGTTCATTTCCTGACCTGAAGGCGGCATTCGATTTGGTCGACTGAGAGGTCTTATGTTATTGCCTTTCACTGAAGAAGGATGCCGAGTAAGTGTATCGCTCTGCTAAATGCTCTGTACTTAAACAGGTGATCGTGTAAGAGCCAGCGGTGACATATAAAGTGAGTTGTGTACGTGGAGTGGTATTCGTTAAAGATGCCGATTCTCTCCACACTTATTCAATTTTATTATAGACGAACTTTTGCAGGTCTGCTTCTGGTCGTCTGAGTTTTCAGGGATTGATCTTATCGTAGGATAATTCTTAGTATGTCTAGAGTATCCCATGACATGGTCCTGTTAGGTGATGACACTGAAGAGACTCAGAATCTTCTGGACACGTTGAGTGGCAATTTGAGAATGTTTAGGATGTATTTATCTGCACCTAAATGCAAACTGTTGCCCCGGGAATGGTCTCCAGCGAAGCTCTGGCTAACAATAGGAAATGGACTGATTAATTTTATTAAATCATAATAGCTTTATTCCAAACAACGTGTTTGATACAGTATGAAATTCTCTGCATCTAATGATTTAAAAAATTCATCTCCAAAACACTATTTTCAATCAAAGTAATGACTGCATCTGAATGATATTCATAACAGCATAAGAGGTCGTAATCTGAAGAAAACGGTTTGGGTGCCTTGACCACTTTTCTTACTGTAGAAACCGGATCAGATTTAGTGGGTCAGTGTCCCAAGGAATCACTAAACAAATTCAAGAGGCTCGTTTGGCTTTCTCCAACACACCATTTATGGCACCGCCATGATGTTCGATTGCTTTTTGAGGTTGTTCTGCTGTCTAGTTATGAAACATTGCCGTCAAAGGTAGGGAAAATGAGGCAGCTTCAGTTGTTCAACCACCTTTACTTTCGTAGCATATGCCGTATTTCTCTGTTACGTAAAAGTGAGTTACTGAGTTTTTGGGAGAAGTAGCGAATTGGTTGATGAGATTGTGAACTTTTGTTGACTGTGAGGTGACTGGGAGATGCGTTACGCTTACCTGATCACTGTCTACGATTGTATCTACTTGTTGCTTCTGTGAACCATCCTGATGTCACAGCCAACACCATGGAGTCGGTCACTAAGCGCTCACGATACATAGCCATACTGTTTCTGACACATTTCAAAAATATAAGATTCATCAGAATCACTCCTATTTAAGACCTTAACTGTCTGTTTAACAGACAAGAATGTTAATGTAGATTCTCCCATACAGCTCTTGCACACAATCAGAGCAAGACATATGGGAATTCAACCTCTCCAGTGATAAGTAATGGCAGTGTGATCAGTCTGTGTTCATCACGGCGTTGGTTTTGAGGATCATTTAACTGTTTTGTTTCTGCTTATCTCTAAAGTTGCCGCCATATACTAACGGGACCGCCTTAGCCTCCTAGTTGCTGAAGGATACTTAATACTTTCAAAACTATCTGTGGTTATTTTCCAAGTGTGTGTCATTCAGATGTTTAAAAGAACTGCCTATAAATCTAAGGGCTAAACACGAGACAATCAAATTCTCTTTTTCCTGTTCTTGTCACCTCGACATTTTAAGATCAGTGATGATATCAAAACTGGAAAAGCTTTTGCCTCACTGTCATTTAGGTACGATTAGGTGTAGCAATTATAAAGGAATCGGTATTTATTATTATTTTACTATTAGTCCCTTGGGTTCCTAATGGAACATAGGGCTTCAGTAGCACGTCTCCAGTGAACTCTATTCTCTGAAATCTTTTCAACCTGGCTCCACGACAGCCCAGAAGCTCTCATTTCCTCATCGCACGACCTCCTCCATGTCACCCTCGGACGTCCAACTCGTCGCTTCCCATGGGGATTCCACTCGAGCAACTGGCCTGACGCGTGATGTCCCCAGTTGGCCTTCTCAGTGTATGCCCAATCTATCTCCATTTCCTTCTGCATATTTGTTGGGTGATAGGTTCTTGGTTGGTTCGTTCCCGGAGCTCCTTGTTGCTTACTCTTCTGATTCTGGCCATCTGATCTTCATTAGCGAGCGTAAGCAGCTGTTGATGAATGTCTATAGTTTATTGGAAATGCCTTTCGTGACGCGCCAAGTCTCTGAACCATACAGAAGCACTGACTTGACGTTGGTGTTGAGAATCCGGATCTTGTTGTTTTTGTTGAGTGTGGAAGATCTCCACACTGGTTTCAGGTTAATGAAAGCCTGTCTTGCTTTTCTAATCCTGACTTTGACATCCTCGTCTGTGCCGCCTGTAGTCGA